TCAACCTCAACAGGAACACAGGAGGATTGATATTCCATCTAAAACTTATAAAACTATGGATTAATTTAACGCCAAATTGCAAACTGGCGTAGAACTTATTCAAATTTACAAAACAGTGATAATACTTTACTCAAATATTTACAATCGATCAAAACTGTGCAAATTTATAAAGCATAAGCTACAAATTTTCCCAAGATTAATATTAATCTTGTGAATTCCAAAAATTTTATAACAATGCGTGTTTAGAATCTCTTTATAATATTTGTGAAAATTATTGCTAAATAAATACAAAAACTTCCAACTAGCATGCAAATTGAGTCGTAAATAAAAAGGTGGAAATCATTTTCTGCGAAGAGCTCGGACTTGCCGTCGAGAAACCGAAGGATGGCTTCACAATGCAGCAATTGTGGGAGGTTATCCCGTCAAATTGATAAGCTAGGAATGATAAGCAAAGATAAGAAATATTTAATTATTTTATAATTTTGATTAGCTATTATGACCTTCAAACTTTGTAAATGTTCGTAAACAGAAACTTTATAAGAATCTATCAACATTGTTCTTTAAATGTTTCCAAGTTTTCATAAATATCAACGATCAAATTGATAAGCTAGGAATGATAAGTATCAAGGAATATTTAAATATTTTCTAATTTTGACAAGCCACAAGTCTTAAAATTTGTGGATATGTTCCTAAACAGATGATGAAAATTTTGAAAAATGTATCAATGTTTTTCTGTATTTCCTAATGTTCCTAAAAAAATGTTAATACTAGTTACACACATATTTATGAATCTCAGCTACGTACTATTTCACAAATATGTAAATCTTGGTCCATTTTTTCAATTAATTTTTGTGAATTTCTTTCGAAAATTTTATATATTTTTAAAATTTAAAAATTTATGTGAACATACAAATTCATCTATAGTGGAATTTTATTACTGAAAAATCTAAAAATAAAAGTTTTGACGTTGAAATCGTCAACCTTTTTGTGTTTTAGTGAATTTCGTGTTTTTTTTAATTGAACGAAAAATTACAGAGAATTCATATTTTTACGTCGTTTTTTGATACTTTTTTTTCTTAATATGCATAAATATTCTTATCAGTGGTATGCAAATTTTTACTTATTTCTTAAATTGTAGATTTCAACGTCAAAATTTTGATTTTTCGATTTATCAATTAAAAAATTCTATTAAAGATTAAGATTTCATTTTCCTCAAATCAAGTTTTTGAAAATTTAAAATAAAAAAATATGAAAATTGGATTTAGGTTTCAACGTCAAAAGTTATAATTTTAGAATTTTCAAATATGAAATTGCTCTAAAGATGCTTTGGGCACAATATTTCGGAATTCAATATTTCGTTATATATCGTTGCTAAAATGCGTGTTTAGCATATCATTAAAAAAATAAATTTTCGACAACATTTGTAAAAAAATGTAGCTGAATAAATTCAAAAGTTTCCAAATAGCATGCAAAACGAGTTTATAGATAAATATTATTTCAAACAAATGCAAATAATTGGTCTATCTTTAAGTCATGAACTTATTCCGGTGATTTTAAATACACAATTTTGTTCAAAAATTTGCAAATGTTTTATAAATTGATTATATTCATATTTTTTTTCAATGTGTCGACAATTTTAGGTATAAAATTTATTTCATCAAAATTACTGTATGAACACAACCCTCGACAAAAAATTGGCAGATTTGTTTGCTAAATTTTTATGTTATGTCATAAATATAATCTGCGATATGCTTATCACAAGTTTGCAAAATTATAAATTTTTGAGAATTTATAAGGTTAGAAAAATTAGCAAAATTGACGTTGGTTACAACGTCAAAAGTTGTATTTTTCGAATTTTCAAATTAAAAAAATCCTTTAAAGATAATGGCCCCGTGGTCCGCAATTTAAATGAATTGAAACGAGTTTTAGCATATTATAAAAAAATAAATTTTGTGAAACATTTATAAAAATTGTAGCTAAATAAGTTCAAAAATTTCGAGTTATGAATCGTAAATTAACTTGGGTCAAAATTTTTTCGTTTCTTTAATTACAAATATTTCAGAATATTTTTAACGATTAAAAAACCTGTATTTACTTAATTGCAATCTGATATATAAATATTCTCAAAACGTCTTTTATTAAATTATTATGAAATTTATAAAATTAAAAGATCCAACGTTTAAAAGGACTTTAATCATTGGTCATTTTTACGTTTCCACTTTTAGATATCACTTCAAATTGAAAAAAATGCACTTCAAATTTTTATTTTTATTTTAATTTGTAAAAATCCCAAAATTTCGAAATCATGGATTGATATTTTGTCCATTAAAAAAATAAATTATGTCTTTTATTACGTATTTCGTCAATTTTTGGTTTACAAATTAGAACAAAATTAATCACTTTATTAAAACACATACCAGTGTAAAATCATGCCGAAATTTATTTACGGAATTCTACCTGTCCAATTTCCACAAAAAAAGAATAATTTTTTCAAAAATCGCTAACGAAATATGTATATTTTTTTACTATTTAAAATTCAATTTGGCTACTAAGAAAGAAGACATAAACCATTTTCATTCACTATCAGTCCCCATCATAATTACATAAATGAATAAAAGTTAACAGGTATTAGTATCTACATATATCTAAATATGTGCTTATCACTTATATGTAAAATTATAATTTTTGGAATTTATAAGTTCAACGTCTAAAGTTTTATTTCTAGATTCTTCAAATATTAATTTTTAACGAAGGTTAGGTCGGAGTTTTCAATAAATTATCATAATTTTCTTGCAATGCGTAGTTAGAATTCTTTTCTACAATTATTTATGAAAATTGTGGCTTAATAAATTTAAAAAATTTCAATAAGCATGCAAATTGAGTTGTAAATAAGCTTGTGTAAATTAAAAAATGTTTTACTTTCTTTTTATATTATTTCAAAAATACGTAAATACCAATGTATTTAGTTTATATTTTTTTAATTCATAAATATTTAACTAAATTTATCGACAATTTCATTAGATACGAAATTTTTTGGCCAAAATTGCAGTATGCAAACAAAAACTTTGGTGGAAAAATGGCAGAGAATTTGAATTTTTTATGTCGTTTTTTGACATTTATTCTATAAATATACATACGCTGTATGCAAAATTATTCGTTTAAACGTCAAAATTTGGATTGTTAGATTTTTCAAATATAAATTTCCACTCAAGATGATAATCGCCATTCTGACCAATTTACAAAAATTTTATGAGGGGTGGTAAGAGTATATTTTTTCAAAGTATTAGGAAAATTTGTCAAATGAAGCTAAATTAATTCAAAAATTTCAAAAGTATGTCGTAAATAAGCTTGGTTTATAATTTCGTAACTAATAAAAGTGAATTTCTCAATGCAAAATTTTTGTTTTTGAATTTTATGATTTTAACGTCAAAAGTTTTATTTCTAGATTCTTTATGTATTAAATTCCACTGAAGATTAAGTCGAGCTTCTCATCTGATTCTAAATGTCACAATTTTTTATTACAATACGTTTTTTGGAATATTAAAAAAAATATATTTGTGAAAATTATGACTAAATCAATTCAAAAATTTTCAACTAGCGTGAAAAATGTATATCTTATTTCAAAAATATACAAATATTTGGTCTATATGTTTTTAATTCAATTTTTCTAATTTGTCTCCAATTTTATTAAATAGGAAATTTTGTTGACAAAATTGCAATTGCAAGCACAACCTTTGTAGAAAAAACAGTGGAAAATTTGAAATTTTGATGTAATTTTTTGGTAAATTATTCTGTAAATATATTTTTTACCAGTATATGCAAAATTATAATTTTACTAATGTTTGATTTTAACGTCAAAACTTAGATTTTTAGATTTTTTAAATAAAAATTTCCACTAAAAGATCAGTTAAATGTCGCTGGACAATTTACAAAAATTTTATGAATAGTGATTAGAAATTAGGAAATATTTGGCTAAATTAATTTAAAAATTTCCCATTAGCATGCAAAATAAGTCGTAAATAAATTTCCATAAAAAATTTTATCCCATTTTATCCCATTACTAAAAAATCAAAGAATTTTACCAGATTAATAAATCCTTACAAAAATTATCCAATTCTATTTTATCAATTATACAAAAATCAAAGAATTTTCCCACATTTTTAAAAATTTACACAAAAATATTCCCATTTTAAGAACACGTTACCAAATAAATAAATACATGCATAAACAAATACCAGGAAGCGCGAGAGTGGCCACATTTTGGCTCATTTTTACCTAAAAACTTGTACTCTAAATCTGCACATAAATACCCAATCAGTGACGTTGAGGAGAAGATTCTTTGCTGATTAACTAACTAACCAACAACATTAAATATTATTATTATTATTAACTAACTGACTTGACGAGACTACTCCACCACTAAATAAATCCTGTCCATAAAACAGCATCACGTTAAGAAGGGGACCATTGATAAAGTATGTAGTGCAAAATTTTGCGATTTTTTGCCACTTGCTGCCCACTCGCAACGTGTAACTTTTTACGCACCAACTTAGAAAACTGGTATTAAATCATTACCGACCGGAGTACATATGTGACTCTACCCGCACTCGTATTAAGGGGAATTACCCTTCAGTAATGTGGTGGTGATGAAAAATTTACCACTCAGGAACAATTTACTACCAATCCGGTAGAAAATTATTACCAAATCAATACCAGCACGGAGTATCTACCGGATTTTTAACAGCGTTGAACAGCGCGACGCCTCGGTTGCGTGACGTACTTTATGAACGTCCCCCTAAGACAACAACATTCTCTCGTCTACACAAACAACGGTACCTTTAAATGGCAAATTTTTGCCAATTCTTCTTTGTTCTTCGCCAATTCCAGTTTCTTACGTCACTTCGCCAATTTCATCATGAACGAAAATGTCCACCCGTACTCTGCACAATGGGCAAAGTATGCAAGGCGTGGTTGTCTGTAGAATGAGAATCTCCATGATTTTTTTAGGACGTCTTTGTTCTTCCAGAGCGTTCCATTTTTTGGTATAAATAGCCCTGCAAATGCATCATTCAAGTATCACCAGCCTTTTAATCAACTCTTATTACACAATCCAATCCAAGCTTCCAAAACCAACTCCGTCAAAATGAACAAGCTCGTAAGTTTCTGAAAATTTTGGGAATTTTAGTTTCTTTATAATTTTCCTTTCAAAATTTAGTTTCTAAAGATAAAAGGATTGTGGGAATTTTCTCACCTAATATTTCAATTTTGTAATCTGCGAATTTAAATTTCAGTTCAATTTTGCAGATATTACAGTTTTTACATATTTTTTTACGAAACTTATAGAATTTTCAAATTTCAATTTTATTTCAATTTTTGCTAATTTCAAAATTTTGCACTATTTTTCCAGTTTGTCGTCCTCCTCTTGGCCGCTGTTGTCGCCGCTGCCAGCGCGCAATACTACGGCGGATACGGATACTCCAACTTGGGTTATGGCTACTCGAACCTCGGATACTCCAACTTGGGCTACTCCTCCCTCGGATATGGTGCTTATCCAGCCTACGCCGGGTACGGTTATGGAGGACTCGCCTACTACAAAAAGTAGATCTTTTTACAGATCAACCTACCCTTAAAATTTGCGACCCAATAATCCGGCCAAAATTCGATCGGAACGTTTTATACCGAAAAAATTAAAGAAATAAAATCACTTCAGTTTCAAATCCTTATATAAAACTGACTAGTGAGACATCATTTGCATAATCTTAGCATCAAAAATTGCACACTCTGCATACATGAACCGCATTCATTTTTAACGGTAAAATTGCACGCTCAAAATTGAATGGCATATATTTTTTCAGCAAAATTGCAAGTTCAAAATTTCTTGACGAAAATATGTACGTTACAGCGAAGAAATTAAGGAACTAAAATCAGTTAATTTTTTTGAACTCCTCGCCTCAAACTAAACACGTCTGCAACGGTCCAAATAAAAAATAAACATTTTTGACCTTTGACCTGGTCTACGTGGTCACGGGGTCTTCATACGTTAAAACTGTGTCGATTTCTGAAATTCTCGCCCAAACCCAAGTCTAAAACAGTCGACACTTAAATTTTGACCTTTGACCTCGTCCTCTCGGTTATGGGTTGGTCGGAGGTCAAAAGTATTGACGAAGATGAATTTTTCGTTAAATTTCCTTTAAAATGATACCGCATATGAAAATTAAGGTAGAATTTTGCGTTTACTTCACGCCAGGGTGACCTTGACCTTGACCACAGGGCGCCCATCTTCGAACTCGACCTAGGGTCAAAAATTAGAAGCAAAATGGCGAAAACGGCGTCTGATTATATTGAGGCGTTCTAGAGATATCCTACTTGCCAACCCTTGACTTTTCCACATTAGTACAAACTATATAAAAAATCTTTTTTTATATACTAAATATTTTTAACAACTGCGTAAAATTCAAAAATCTATATATCACGTGAAACTTTGCAGTAATTCAACTAATTTTTAAATACAAAATTCTACCCTCTGTACACTTATTTTTTTTGACAAAATTACACGATCATTTTTATAGCGTGTCAAAAATTATATGAAAATATTTTACCACTAAGAAATTGAAGAAATAAAATCAATTTCAATCTTTAAACACATAAAGAAACAATACTATTAACCAACTGGTATTGAATCATGACTGGCCGGAGTACAAATATGACTCACCTACCGGCATCAGTTATCTCGATCACTACGGCGTAGTAATATTGAAGTAATGACCACTCAGAATCAAACTGTTACCAATTCGGTAGGGAATTACTACCAAATAAATTCCAGTATGGATGGAGTATATGTGTGACTCCACCGGGGGCTTTACAGTGTACTAGTGTACGCAATTCATAACTTTATAAATGTACCTATAACGTTAAATTTCGGCATTTTTGCAGTAAATATTGCATGCACACTTTGCAATTTTATTGAGATGTAGTTCCATACATGCAAAAATAAATTCTGCCAATTTACTGGTTATGATGAACATGATGAAGGTACGTGAGGCGTGGTCCAAAGTACAACAAGAATCTCCATGAATTTTTTAGGACGCCTTTGTTCTTCCAGAGTCCAATTTTCTGGTATAAATAGCCTCGCAAAGGCATCAGTCAAGTATCACCAGCCTTTTAATCAACTCTTATTACACAATCCACTCCAAGCTTCCAAAACCAACTCCTTCAAAATGAATAAGCTCGTAAGTTTCTGAAAATTTTGGGCATTTTCTAATTTAAAAGTTCAATTTCAATTCAATTTTGCCAATATTCAAGTTTCTATATTTTTTTAATAATGGGAATTTTCTAATTTAAAAGTTGAATTTTGCAGATACTACAGTTTCTCAATATTTTCAAGAAATGATGGGAATTTTCTAATTTACAAGTTCAATTTTTTAATTTTGAAGATATTTCAGTTTCTAAATAATTATGGGGGCAACTTTACAAAATTTTGGGAATTTTCTAATTTTGAATTTAAATTCCAATTCAACGTTACAGATATTAAAATTTCTACATATATTTTTACGCAAATCATAAGAATTTTCTCATCTACAGTTTCAATTTTATTAAAATTTTATTAAAATATCTATTTTATTAAAATTTTATTACAACTTTTTTGTAACAATTTCAAAATTATTTTATATTTCCAGTTTGTTGTCCTCCTCTTGGCCGCTGTTGTCGCCGCTGCCAGCGCGCAATACTACGGCGGATACGGATACTCCAACTTGGGTTACGGATACTCGAACCTCGGATACTCCAACTTGGGCTACTCCTCCCTCGGATACGGTGCTTATCCAGCCTACGCCGGGTACGGTTATGGAGGACTCGCCTACTACAAAAAGTAGATTTTTTTACAGATCAACCCTCCCTTAAAATTTGCGACCCGATAATCAAGAAAAAATTCGATCGAAACGTATTACACAGAGAAAATTAAATAAAAAAATCACATCATTTTAAAATCTCTATCTTAAACTGAGACATCATTTGCATGTGCTTGCATCAAAAATTGGACAGTCAATATACACGATTGGCAATCATTTTTTGCAGCAAAATTGTACTATCAAACTTGCATGGCATCTACATATTTTATTACAGCAAAATTGCAAGCTCAAAATTACATGGCAAAAATTCTCAAAAATGTTACACCGAAGAAATTAAAGAAATGAAATCAATAAAATCAATAAAATCTTTATGTATTTAAAGCATAACCGCATAAAATTCATCAATATATACATATGCCTAGCGTTAAATTTCGTCATTTTTGCAGTAAATATTGCACTCTCTTAATTCATGCATACCACAATATATTATGCATTTGCAATTTATCTATTCAATTTTATTAAGATGCAGTTACATACATATGTACATATATAAGCATCTCCATGAATTCTTTTAGAACGTCTCTGTTCTTCCAGAGTCCTATTTTTTGGTATAAATAGCCCCGCAAATGGATCAGTCAAGTATCTATCACCAGCCTTTTCATCAACTCTTATCACACAATCCAGTCCAAGCTTCCAGCTTACAAAACCAACTCCTTCGAAATGAATAAGCTCGTAAGTTTCTGAAAATTTTGGGAATTTTAAATCTTTTATAATTTTCAATTCAAAATTAAATTTAAAAAATAAACTATGGGAATTTTCTCATTTACGAGATCAATTTCAGCTCAATTTTGCAGATATTTCAGTTTCATGGGAATTTTCTCGTACAAAATTTCAATTTTCTAATTTGTAAATTGCAATTTCAGTTCTGTTTGTACATATCGTTTTTTTTAATTATGAAAATTTTCTGGTTAAAAATTTGAATTTTATTTGAATTTTATTACAGTTTCGAGTATAATACATTTTTAATACAATTAAATTTCTGAAAATTTTGGGAATTTTATATCATTTATAATTTCTAGTTCAAAATTGTTATTTCCAGTTTAAAAAATAAATTATGGGAATTTTCTCATTTAAAGTTTCAATTCTATTTCAATTTAACTAAAGTTACAAAATTTATTTTGTCAATTAAAAAAAATTGTGGGAATTTTCTACTTTTAATTCAATTTCAGTTAGAAATATTTAAAAATTTTATATTGCTCTATGTTTAAGAAATTATGGGAATTTTTTCTAATTTAATATCTCAATTATATTTCAATTTGTTCAAATATCAAAATTATTATTTGCAGTTGAACACAAAAAATATGAACATTTTCCAATTAAAAAGTTCAATTTCTGCCAATTTCTGGTCAATTTTATGAATTCAAAATACTTCAAAATATTTTATTTATTTATACTTTTGTAAAATTCTAGGAATTTTTCCATTTTAAATTTCAGTTATATTTCTATTTTGTTAAAATTTCAAAATTATTAAATATCTGCAGTTTAAACAAAAGTTCAATTTCTGTCAATTTCAATTCTACAATTTCTACTTACAATATTTTTATTTATTTACGATTTTAAAAATTTATGTAAATTTTCTCATTTAAAATTTCAGTTATATTTCAATTCTATTAAAATTTCAAAATTATTATTTTTTCAGTTTGTCGTCCTCCTCTTGGCCGCTATTGTCGCCGCTGCCAGCGCGCAAGGCGGATACTCCAACGTGGGTTATCTCGGATATGGTGCTTATCCAGCCTACGCCGGGTACGGTTATGGAGGACTCGCCTACTACAAAAAGTAGATTTTTTACACACATCAATGACAACCTACCCTTTCCAATTATTAAATTGCCATATTTTGTGTATTCAGCGGGAAATAAGAATTTTGAAATTTTAACAAAATTGAAATATATCTAAGTGAAATTTGTAATCAGAAAATTCCCATAATTGTTTAAAACTAGAGCCATATAAAATTTTAAAATATTTCGAAACCGTAAAATTGAAACTTGTAAAGTAGAAAATTTCCACAGTTTTTTCTAATTGGAAAAAGAAATTTTGAAGTTTATGATCTGACAAAAATTGTATCGGAACGTTTTATCCCGAAAAAATTAAAGAATTAAAATCGCTTCATTTTTAATTCTATATATAAAACTGAGACATCATTTACATACTTTTACATCAAAAATTCCACGGTCTATACACATGCATAAGATTATTTGCATAGTTTTTGCATAAAAAATTGAACGCTCTTCTTGAATGCATGGCTTCAAAGTATTTTTTTGCAGCAAAATTGCATAAATATTCGGGCAAAATGTTTCACACCGAAAAAAAAATCACGTCAATTTCAAATCTGTAAATAAATCTGAGGCGTCATTTGAAATGAAATTTTTACTTCGTTACACCCCCAAAGTTCCCAAAATGGAATTTTGACGTGGTTACATCCCAAACTTGGAATTGTTTTCTAACTTCAATAGCTGGATTTGCCGTTGACATGCATTAGAATTTGCTTGTTTAAATATAGATAAGTTACTGACTTGTATGTGAAATTTCATCAAAAAAACGTCAATTAGAATTGTTTGTTGTTTATTGCATGTTTATTGCACATTGATAACACTACCGGTTTGATCCGAACCGCCGGTTCGATCACGGTTCTGGCCGGTTCCGGTTCGGTTCCAGTTAAAAAAAGTTCGGTTCTGTTTCGGTTCTTCAATTCCGGTTCTCGGTTCTAAACCGGTTCTTCCAAGAACCGAACCGAACCGAACCGTTGAGACCACTATAGGTAATTAAATAAATTACTGGAGTTTCTGGGCTGAAAGAATGAACTGTAGGAAAAGTGTTCAAGCTAAACGACTATATTGTAATGTTTGATAAATAAAAATTAATTCTTATTCCATTTTTCAGGTAATTATGTATCAATTTTTTTGACAGATAGTAAGTTGGTAATACCAACTTGGTATCGCTGAAATGTTTATGAAAAAAATAAGAATAGTAATTTTACAAACTTTTAATTCCTGCATTTTTACCTGCTGTGGATTTTTTACCGTCCAACTTCTTTGAGCATAAAAATTTCGTCTCATATCGTTGAAATATTGACAAAACATGTATAGGGTTTTTTTTAAAAAAGTATGAAAAGAATTTATGTATTTTTCAAATAATGGAAATATTTACAAATATTTACAATTTCCTCGAAATATGTGCCAATATGTAAAAATATTTTGAAAATTTTATGATCTATGTGAGTGGCACAAAAATACACCTACAAACACACGTTAAGTAGTGGTCTCAACGGTGCGGTTCGGTTCGGTTCTTGGAAGAACCGGTTTGGAACCGAGAACCAGAATTGAAGAACCGAAACAGAACCGAACTTTTTTTAGCTGGAACCGAACCGGAACCGGACCAAACCGTGACCGAACCGGCGGTTCGGGTCAAACCGGTAGTGTTATTAATATGCAATAAACAACAAACAATGCTAATTCACGTGTTTCTGATGAAATTTCACATGCAAGCCAATAACTTATCTGTATTTAAACAAGCAAATTCTAACACATGTCAACAGCAAAACCACTTATGTATGTATTATTGAAGTTAGAAAACAATTCCAAGTTTGGGGTGCAACCAAGTCAAAATTCCATTTTGGAAACTTTGGGGTGTGACCAAGTAAAAATTTCATTTTGGAAACATTGGGGGTGTAACCAAGTCAAAATTCCATTTTTGAAACATTTGGGGTGTGACCAAGTAAAGATTTCATTTTGGAAACATGGGGGGTGTAACCAAGTCAAAATTTCATTTTGGAAAGTTTGGGGTGCAGTCACGTCAAAATTTCATTTCGGAAACTTTTGGGGGTAAAAATTTCGTTTAGGAAACTTTGGGGGTGAAAATTTCATTTTGGAAACTTTGGAGGTGTCATCAAGTCCAAATTTGGTTTTGCAAACATTGTGGATGTAACTGTAACCAGGTCAAAATTTCGTTTTGGGTAACTTGGGGGGTGTGGCCATGTCAAAATTTCATTTTGGGAACTTTGGAGGTACGGCCACGTCAAAATTTCATTTTGGAAACTAGGTGTATTTCGGGAAATTCGTAAAACTTTTTCGGAAATATGATCAACTTAGCTAATGTATTTATGTATGTAGTTCGGTTCAACCCGAACCGGCCGGTTCGGTTCGGTTCTCTAAGACTTGGAACCGGAACCGAACCGGTAATAAAAGTTTCGGTTCGGTTCTATGAGAACCGAGAACCGTTGAGATCACTAACGTTAAGTTTGACCGTCAGTCGGCATCAAATGAAAAAGTTGAAAATATTTAAATACATATCTGCCCTATGGCCAATATTGGCGAAAAATAAATATATTTGTACACACTGATTGTCGTTACGTTAAACTAAAAAATAGTCCAACATCGCTGAAATATTTATAAAATATAAATACGTACCTATTTCTGAAAAAATATGTGAAAGATTTGCGGATTTTTGAAATTATGGGAGGAAATATTTCTGAACTCTCGAAATATATGCGCATATGCAAAAAAATATTTTGATTTTCTTGTGATCTATGCGACTATGCGAGTTAGGGGACACACACACCCACAAAGGTTCACCGTCGGTCGTCATCAAATGAAAAACTTGAAAATAAATACATATCCGCCCTTTAATAATTAATTCCACACAAACAACGGCCCCACTTTCTACCTACCTTTCCCTGCAGTAAACCGCATCCCCGGAAAATATCGCGCCTCGTGCCGTCACCATTTTGGTCAACTGTGGTCTCACCCAGGGTCCGACGCTTTGCAGGAGACGCCGGTACAGGAGGACCAGCACGAGGGGTCCAACTGCCACCGGAAATAGAACCACCACTCCAACCACGGATAACATTATGGTGACCAATTTGCTAAAAGTGGCGAAAACGAGAGATGTCGAATTTGCTGGAATTGTCGAATTGTCGAATTTGCTGGAAATTGCGACCATCTTGACAAAAGTAATGCAAGGAACGAAATGAAATGAAAATTATTAAGTAGCTTCAGCTACTTTATGTGAAGACTTTGTCTGTCTGTCTGTCTGTCTGTCTGTCTGTCTGTCCGTCTGTCTGTCAGCAGGATATCAGGAGAACGGATCGAGATAATCGAAATCGGTTTTCGCCATCATACATAGGACCCCAGGGGGAGGATCCTATCAACTTTTGGGGGCAACCGGACCACACCCCCTTTGGCGACAGGGGGTGTGGTCGGGGCAAAATGAGATTTTTAGTGCAATTTAATCTATAGGTGAAATAGAGTAAAATTATGTGTTCCGGAGTTGTGCCACACCCCCTCGGCGCCAGGGGGTGTGGTTGGGGCAAAATGAGATTCTTAGTGCAATTTAATCTATGGGTAAAATTAGGTGAAATTGAGTGAAATTAAATGAAATTAAGTGAAATTAAGTGAAATTAAGTGCTTCCCCGATTGTGCCACACCCCCTCGGCCCCAGGGGGTGTGGTTGGGGCAAAATGAGATTTTTAGTGCAATTTATTCTATGGGTAAAATTAAGTGAAATTGAGTGAAATTAAGTGAAATTAAGTGCTTCCCCGATTGTACCACACCCCCTCGGCCCCAGGGGGTGTGGTTGGGGCAAAATGAGATTTTTAGTGCAATTTATTCTATGGGTAAAATTAAGTGAAATTGAGTGAAATTAAATGAAATTAAGTGAAATTAAGTGAAATTGAGTGTTTCCCCGATTTTGCCGCACCCCTTCGGCGCCAGCGGGTGTGGTTGGGGCAAAATGAGATTTTTAGTGCAATTTAATCTATAGGTGAAATAGAGTAAAATTATGTGTTCCGGAGTTGTGCCACACCCCCTAGGCGCCAGGGGTGTGGTTGGGGCAAAATGAGATTTTTATAAAAAATTAATCTATAGATGAAATAGAGTGAAATTAAGTGTTCCCGAGTTGTTCCACACCCCCTCGTCGCCAGGGGGTGTGGTCGGGGCAAAATGAGATTTTTACAAAAAATTAATCTATAGGTGAAATAGAGTGAAATTAAGTGTTCCCGAGTTGTTCCACACCCCCTCGTCGCCAGGGGGTGTGGTCGGGGCAAAATGAGATTTTTACAAAAAATTAATCTATAGGTGAAATAGAGTGAAATTAAGTGTTCCCGAGTTGTGGTGGGACCGTTTGGGGTGAAGTACGTCTGAAGCTACTTCCGTATGCGCGTTTGCGACGGTTTATTTAATAAGATTTCGCGAATGTGCAAAGCTCAATAGTGCAAATTTAAATATGTAGATATGCATTTCTTTTACGAGTCTAGAAATTCCCAACATTAACATCTTTACTTGATGAACTTTGCTCGCAAAATCATATAAAATTATGTATTGAGAAGTTGTATACCTACATACATATCTTAAAAATTATGCATTTTCCACCTTTTTTGGGCAACAAAGATGTACATGTTAAAGGAGCAAAAGTAAAGTGGTCCCATTGTGCAAATCTGTGCAAAAATAGACAAAAGTTGCAAGCTCTTCTGCTTCTTTGCGGTGTAGTGGTCAGTTTGGTTGATTGCAACTATTGCACGGAATTACCCATCATTAATATTACCATTCAAGCAATAATATTGAAGATCTTGTAATTTTTTATTAAGTCCAAGAATGAATTTCGACGCTTAGAAAGATGCTTTACAAGTTCTGGAGAGAGCAATTAGTTCGGTTTCATTGGTTAACAGGTTTCTGGACTGGAAAATACTGTCCTGTTTTTTGTACATGAATCGGTTTTTCTAATAAAAAAGAGGAATGTGACCCCGATAAACTTTGTACCACGCTCGAATGCTCGAATGACGATATCATTTTTCATGTTTTTTTTATACTGGAACAATTTTCGAGTACAGAATATTAATCTGATCTTCTAAATGGTGGACCATTTCAGCCATATCGCTTCCACTGAATAGTGTCCCATCCCCGGTGACCGAGACGTTCAACTCGTCCCGATACGTGATCACGCTGAAGCCAAGGCCTGGAAAATTCGTACAGGTCAAGATTAACCAATGCCATTTTTTCTGCCTCCATCTCAGGGGTGGGAAAAATAAGTACTTTGTCAAAATGCAATATTTTTGAGCCCTGTTCTTCCCAGGGTTTGGATTTCCGGGGGTGTTACACCCACAAAATCTACGTGGAGAAGGCAACGGT